ACCACGATATGATGAAATATGCTTTCACTTTCCTTATAGTACACGTACGTGCTTTTGTTCAATTTTGTGGAAGTCACACTTAAGCATAATTCCGCGTTGAAATGCCGTTCCTCTGGTTACGAACCTCCTTGAAATACAACTTATGGAACTGATTTAATTAGCGTTCCAATTATAATTTCTTAAATTTAAATATCAAACTTAAATTATCTGTTTTAGTTTTTGTCAACTCTATTCGCGTCTTCAACAGTTTCATCGCCAAAAGAAGTTCTTGAGAAGCGAACGACTTTATTTTTTCATGTAAATGGCTGCCTTTCTCAGTATGGGATAACGCAAACATCAGAGCGGAGGATCTGAATTAATCTAAAATAGAAAAACAAATTTAGACATTTTGCTCAGTTGAATTAAATGGGATATTTTTTGTCAACAGATTGACGCAATTTTGACTCACAAGTAAATGCTAAACGATCAGTCTTACTCGAAAGTATTGGTGAATTATCTCTTCCATTCTTCCGTTTTTTACTGTCTTTGTTTCCGGTGCAGTGCGACAATTTTTTTCTGAATAGGTAGGGAGCCATTTGCCTCACCGTGTTACAGGGTTCTGAGTCTATCCGATCTTTCTGTGATAAACGGGGGGGACAAATGTTTTGGCGTTTTTACAATTCATGTCTGTGATCATTCATTGTGTTAGAACGGCGAAATATCAAATTCAATGTTATTCTCGAAGTGTGATCGAATCGATGACTGCATGCGAATAGAACAACGGAACTCATTTTTCGTTACACGAGCCTCAAAGCTGTTAAATTTTTTTGGGTTCTGAAAAACTGCTGTGCCATGAAACCTCGTTGCAACAAATAGGAGACATGGAAAGAATTTCTATGTGATCCTTAATTACGTTAAGTTCCATTCCGACTCGGCATTGAATTTCTTTTTTTAACAAAAAGGAGAAAATAAAGATATCTATATTGACAGAACCCATGTATTGACGGAAATCCTTACTTTGTCTTTTGTTCTTTTCTCTTCTGAGATATTCAGAAGCTTCTCAGCTAAAATCACCCTCGAATGACCATTGGAAACGGATACGATAACTTTTGCATAACATTTTCGTTAAAGAAATTCTACTTTTTCTACCAAGCTGCCTTTTTTTCAGAGATATACAGACAGAGAAGGCCACGCTGCCCGTAAATGGACAAGTTTCTTTTGAGAACTCAACTTTCTTATCTTCGGGAACTGAAAACAAGAAAGAGAAAAAAAAACCTGTATGCCGTGCTCAAAATGAGGGCTGAACACTTTTTTTGTTCAAGGTCTTTCAGTTCAGTTCGGATTTGTTGAAGGCAAGCCGCACCCTTTCAATTACCTCACCAGTCTCTCTCTGTTGCACTTTGATGTCTGCTACAGCTATTCTGATAGAGGAGCGTTTAACTTCAGCTGAAGATGTTGTGAGCTAAAGTGATCACCACACTGACCAAACAGTTTTTGAGATGTGAGAACAGTGTTTCTGCCAACAAAACTTTACATCAAACAAAAATGGCGATCAAACCAAAACCAAAAAACAACAACAACACGAGGTCTCGAATCACGTCTTTATCACGTGACCACAATTCCAGATACACAAAGCATACAAAATGAACTAAATGTCATTTTAACTAGACCAATGTACTTATGGTCGCGACATATGTAGAACGAACAAACAATCCGTATTCTGAAATGCTTCCACGGTATTCACAGAATAATACACTTCAGTAAATAATACTTGGCTCTTACAGAGCACCCAGAAGCATAAGTTATATAAGGCAGTTGTTCGGGAGCTTTTTTGTGCGAGAAGTTTCAACTCACAAATGAACTTTGATAACCTTCGACATATAGCATCTTTCTTACCTGCTCTTCAGTCCGAGACGTACAATGTGGTGTCTCACTGAATAAGCACAAGGATACTTATACTGAGGCAAATGAGCCATTGAAACGGCCAAAAATGTTGCCTTTCCACTGGATAATGACCAGCTGATTGTGCTAAAATTCTTTAATTATGGTTGATGTGGCCCAAAGAGTTTTCTTATTTGTATTGAATTTTTTGGAGATCAATTCTTCATTAGTGTCTTTTATGCTGTCTCGTCTATGTATCCAAGAGGCGGTCACAGAAGAATATAAAATTAGTTTCGGAACGATTCTTTATGAAATTGAGATTAAGTGGAGTCCAAGAGTCATGCAACACAGGCTTTCCTTACAGTGTCTTTTCCTCTTTAATTATATTTTTAATTCTTTCTTCCAAGCAATCAATAATTTTACTGTTGTTTTTCCTATTGTCTATATCCCTTAATTCCAAAACGAACTTTTTTAGCGCACAATGTGAAGTTCTTGATTAATTTTTTTTTACCTTGAATAAATATTGCTTAATAAACAGAAAAAACATGACGTACCATCACGAAACTTGACGTGTAGATTAACAACTATATTTGAACGCCTGTGGTAAAAGGTCCCATGGTTGCGATTGAAAAACGTGTTAGGAATCTACGTCTGCTACACTTTCTAGGAATTCTGTGTGGAAATTCTTGTCCCCAAGTGACATTAAAAGGTAGTGAAGAAAAAACCGTAGTATAATGTAAGGTTTGGATGACGTATTATTTCACACATATTGTCTTCGTTCCAGACTGCCTATAATTAGTGGAAGCTTACGGGCCACTTCCTATAGAGGCAATTTGAATATGAATGTTCTATTCTTTAATTTTTTTTTTATTTATTTCCATTAAAATAGAGGAAGCAATTAACGTTTGAATGAAAACTTTGGTATAGTCTGTTTAAAATGGTGATAAGGGAATCGCTATACACCACTCCAGCTAACCAGTGCTTACCCTCCGTATTCATGAAAAACGATGTATCAGTCTTGTGACATAAATACCTTGTATGATCAAGATGTCTCCCCGTTAAGACAGAGGAAGGTTTTTAATGATTGTTTTCAATTGTTACTTCCAAATAATCACTCATTTTGCTGTTTGTTTTTCTGTTGCCTATACTCATTGATAACAAAACGGACATATTTAGCTCACACTGGAAGTTCTTGACTAATTTTTTACCTTAAATAAATCACGAAACTTGACGTGAAGATTGACGATTACATTTGAACGCTGATGATAAAAAGTCTCACGATTACGATTGAAAAACTTTTTAGAAATCTATGTCTACTGCACTTTCCAGGAAATTCTATGTTGAGATTCCTGCCCGCGAGTGACATTAAACAGGAAACGGAAAGAAAAACTGTGGTCAATTGTAAAGTTTGGAGGAAATATGACAGACATTTTCTTCGTTCCAGACTGCCTATCATTACTCGAGGCTGGCTGGCCAGATTTTCCTATCGAGGCAATTTCAATATGAATTTGCTATTTTTCAATAATTTCCTTTCCTTTTTTTTTTTTTCCAATTTCCATTAGAATAGAGGACGCAAAGAATAGTGATAAGGGGATTTCTTTACACCTCTCCAGCTGACAAGTTCGTACTCTTCAAGTTTTTAGGCGATTGCAGTCCCATCTCCCTTCTGTAGAGTATCCCTTTGATTAAGGAAACTACAAAGATAAATAAAGCGTTGACGACCTAATGATTTTTGTAATTTAGTGTAGAAAAGAGTTTTCTGCGTGGTGTTGCCAAACAAGAAGATATTAGTGAAATATTCGTCAATGAGGCAGCATCGTGTTATTCCTTTGTTTGCGAGCAAGAAAAAACAAAACAAAACTATTTCCTATTTAACTTTGATGCTGCCCATCATGGCTAGTGTAAACAGGATATTGAACAAGTTATTTTACACTGGGAACTGAGGGTGGATGAATCGCTGCCAACAGAGTATAAAGGGGAAATATTGAATTCATCAAAGAAACCAAAGCGATGTAATGCACCCCTTAAATGCTTTAA